CGGTGAACAGGAAGATGTAAGGAAAGCATGAAAGCGTGACGTTGACACGGCGCCTGGTCATGCACCTCCACATGTTTGTAACTATAGGCAGGGTATTTCAAACAGGACTCTCCCGAATAATGATAAAAACAAATACAATAACTTTAATTATATAAATGTTTAAGTGAAGTAATGATTCAATTTGACAGATTATTATGTGTAAGAATGTTCTTACAAATCTAGTTTTGAGTAGATATATCTATACAAAAGAATCTAATTGGTAACAGACGGTATATTCAACCTTTAATCCATTATTATACATATTTGTTCCAGGTATATTCATAGGGATTGTAATAAGGCAAAGAAGTCCATAAATATTTGATATACGTTTTTATAGTTAATCCTCCAAGGCCTTGAGGACTGTCATGTTTGGTTTATGGAGTTTTGCAAGTAAGACTTGTTGACTTCTTGAGAGTATAATGTAATCTTCGCAGTGCATTTTGTTTGTACTTCCCCCTGGCAATTTGGAATCACAGGCAATAGAGCTGCAGCTAATGATTATATCCCACAATCTGTTTTAAATATATAAATAAGCTATGGTCCAAAACCATGAAAATTGCAACTCACTGTGAAAAAATCACAGTCAGTAAGAATGAATCTTCTGGGGAACATGTGTACAACTTATCAAAGCATCCAATAGTCATTGCTTGCATGTCTGAATAATCCACTACAGTTTGTGTACATTTTTTTACAATTGCAACCCCTCTTATTCCATAGCTCTAGAAAAATGCCTGCTTATGCCTCTGTTTCTAGAAAGTGTGTTTTCTATGTCAACATGTTTATGTTAAGTGAAAGGTCATGTTTGCAAACCTCAACTACGTGTAAAACGCACTGGGTGTGTTCGTCGCCATGGTTATCGTTACGATTCGCTTGCTGCTCACATGGCCATGCAAGTCCACTGATTGGCTCAAGCTGGAGTTTAGTGCGGTAGTAAAGTTTTGGCAGGCAGAGGAAAACCTCAGTCGTTTTCAATGGACATAAACATCACCGCTGCCCTGCCTTCAGATTGGTGATTTCCTCTGCTAACTGATCATTTTTATGACTTTATACACATGCATGGAAATGACACACTAAAACCAAATATGTTTTCCCATCTTTGCAAGGAAAGAATTTGACAGTGGGGTCCAGACATCCTTTTCTGTCGTTTTTTTACTTGCATTCTTGGAGTTTAGCTTTTTTTTTGGGATAACAGTACAGATCTGGATTGAGGGTTAGTGAATTTGGCTTGGCTTCATGGCTCTGAACAGGCCATGGTAGCTGAGGCATTATACTACGCAGGAGTGTGAGACAGAGTCAGCAGTTAGCACCATGGAGCAGTGTGGATTTTATGCTGGCTGGCTGCCTTTATGCTAGCCTAGCGTAGCACGACCCTGGCCGTCTGCGTGGCTGTGTGCTAGTGTACCATGACTTAGCTCAGGTCTAAATGTGCCCTCAACACTTGGAGCAGACCTCTGTGTAACTCTAGAATATCAAAACCATGCGTTTCTGCCACTGGTCCACTGGTTAGAGAAAATGCCCCCTTTTGACTTCAAGTTCAGCACCTGCAACCATTTACAACCAGGTGGTCCCTCACACTGTCCTTAAGCAATATGCTGAGCCCCTAAATCGTTTAGTCACAAGCTACAAAGGGTAACAGTGTAACTGTATGAGGCGTGTGGAATGAAAGCTTAGTGATGGTTGGGTTAATATTTGCTTTTTGATATTGATTTAAAAATACATAATCAACTTTTTATTTATTTGTAATTCATTTATTCACAAACGGTTCAAATACATTACAAAAATAGGTAGAACCCTAAGACATAATGTAGATACTGTATGTGAAATGGGACATCCCGATAAGCTGTCCAAAAACATAGGAATAGGGGCCCAGACACTAAAACAGAAAGCTTGGCACTATATTTGTACCAACACTCTTAAAAACGGTGAAAGGAGTTCATGTATTATCACAGCAAATATTATAACGTAAGAAACACTAACCCAAGACACTAACCAAAATTTCAAACATTTTTAATCAATCTAAACATTGGTTTCAAATAGGTAAGGTTAATAAACAACAGACACTCCACAAGGGAAGAAATGGTACAAAACATGTATTTCAAAGTAAAGTAACTTATATTAGAGGTCCTAGCCATTTAGTCGTGAAGATTTGGACATAATTTGACTTAGCAACTATGCCGTACGCACTCAACATACAAAAGCATATCCAATCTCTAAAAACGACAAATTGTTATGATAGTATTATAACTAGTATATGCTTTGTTGAGTCAAAAAACAAAACATGCTTGCAATCTTCCGGCGCAGACGAAAACTCATCTCTTTCGACTCCACTTCGAGCGACTAGATACTAACAAGAACTGCTAACAGAGCACTTTATAGACTAATAAGGGCCTGGCTTATCTAAAGCCAGTTGAGTGCACTTGAAATGTTTTGCTCTATGAAACCTGATGTACGTATAAGATGCCTGTTTTCTTCAAGGTTGTAATCTTCCTGGTCGAATGTACTTATACTTTAAGTAGGCTTTGGATAAAGGCTTCAGCTAAATGCAATGTAACATGGAAGCGTACAAAATCATTGCTTACAAACTGTTCAAATCTAGAGAAAACTTTGATTTTACTATGACAATGAAAAATATGCTCATGCATTTGAATGGCGCTTGGTTTGCCAGAATCTGCATATTTGACTTTTATACGATTTCAGCAGCATTTGACAATATCTACTTTTTTTGACATTTTTCTGTTTAACTTGATATTTGTCAAATACATACAGTCCCATTTAAACGTGTTTCAAACCGGTTTCAAAGCAAATAATGAATGTCCATGTGTGGTGAAATACTGTTATCTGATTGTTTACCAGCACCTCAACGCACAACATAACATCCCTGGTTCCCAGTGTGTCTCTGAGAAGGCTACACTTACAAGTGAAAAACTTCATTAAGAAAAGAAAGAAAAAACTATGAAGACAAACGATAACCAGAAAATCAAATAATTCTCCATCAGTGTTATTTAATTTGTCACTGATTATTATCTTCCCTCGTTGAGACAGTGATTATTCTTGAATCCTTCTCTCAGCGGCAGGTTCGGTGTGGTTATTCCTTAAGGCATTTGACAACGATCTAAAGAATAGACCGTCACACATTAATCTGAAAGAGCTATTATCTAATCTCTGATATTGCGCAGATAGATCTGTTTGCCGAGGAGTTGAACACAGATTTACCATCTCAGTTCAACAGAGTCTAACTCTGATTCATGGATCAGACCCGTGATGAATAATCTGCTGTAATGACGTCTTGTATGATGTGTGAGGGTTTGCTTTCTACCTTTTTTAAGGTTTATGATACAACCTGTAGATGGGCTAAAATGCATTATCAGGCCAATTTCTTATAAAGGCTGATTATGCTTTCTCGGATTGTCCCTTGCCATGTAGTGGGTGGTCTAGACGGTTTATGTGCATGTAAATGGGTCGCAAGGCTAAATCCAAAGTTCCCTCCAGACTGAGTTTCTCTCCACACACTCGCCTCTGCCTGAACGCTCCATTGGACTCCTTGTTTACTTTTGTTACTAGTGACATCACTATCTAACACTATCAGACCAATCAGAGCAGACTGGCCCCTGGTTTCGACTGAGGTGAAAAGAGGGCTGCTGAGAAAATAAACACACTTTTTGAACATTATAATGCACTGACTGCAACATTCTCCTGAGTTTAAATAATCCCCCCTCCCCTAAAAACTGCGTATAGTAGGGTTTGGCTGTTCGGTCTATCAGGTGCTGTGTGATGCACAAGTCTATCTCCAGTGGTTACCCCACCCAAAAACAATAGCAGAAGCAACAACAAAAAAAGCTTGCTCCCTTAGGGCGTTTTCAGAAGCGAGTTAACTGGCAGGCCGCAAACACTCACGACGAATACTGCACCCGAACGTCCCCTGAGTTTGGGGACTGGCTTCAGAAAAGCTGCTGGGGACTACCCAGCAGCATTTTTTTGTGTGTGCCAAATTTAGTCCTCGTCCGTTGGTGGCCTGGGCTAAGCTATAAATGCCTAATGCCCCANAGTGTCACTTTTATTTATTTGTCTCTTTGGTTTTTGTTTTTCTTCCCCTCTCTTCCTTCCTGTCCCGCTCTGCCCCATTCCTGCAGTGCAAGATGACGGGACGTGTGTGTGTGTGTGTGTGTGTGTGTGTGTGTGTGTGTGTGTGTGTGTGAGAATCCGTTTTCTATATGTTCTATAAAATGTGCCCATTCCTTTTCATGCGTCTAAATATATATGTGTTTGTGTTTGATCCTTGCCATGGTAATGCTGGCACATTTCCCCCGCTGTATCTTCCTGCCTGAGCTGATTTTGTGTTTTCAATGGCCAAACTCTGGCTCCAACCATCACTTTAGTTTCCTCCCTCCATGCCTCTATTCCTCCAACTTTGCTCCATCTATCTGGCCATCCATCCATCCATCCGTCTCTCCATTGAGAACTGCCAGACCACAGCCCGTCTCATTCATTAATCATCAGCAGTGAGAAAGGAACAAGGGAGCAGTCAGACGAGAAAGAGAGAAAACAGAGAAAGGTGTCAGGAATGACAAGTGCAGGAGATTGGAGGTTAAAGATTAAACATGATCCTTTAAGGGGATGCTCTCTTTCAGGTTCATGTGTATTTTGTGTCTCTTCTGTGACATGTCTCCATGCTTTAATGTTCAAAAAGCTCTTTCTTTTTCTCATACTGCCTGTTTTGCAGCACCACTTTTCACCCTCTGTCTGAAACCAGAGCCCAGTCTGCTCTGATTGGTTAGCTGACCAGCTCCGTTGTGATTGGTCAACCACTTAGAGATGTCCCTCCCCTTACCCTTATCACATACATTGTGTTGGAGCGCTAGCCAATAATAGCTTGAATGTTACATGGTGTTGACGTTATGTTACGGAACAACACACTACAGGGTTACAACTCCAATTAAAACTCTTGTCTCTTTGTTTTTCAGATCCCGTTCTCGCTGGTGCAGTTTCCACTTTGGGAATATCTAAAGGTATGCATTAGATCTTTGCCTAACTGGCTTCATCCCCTCTCTTTCTTTATTATCCATCTGTTTGTATCCCCTCCCCTCCCCACCATTCCTCAGCACAGTCGTTTACTGTAATTATTCTGTGTGATTAATCCGCAGTAAAGTTATAGTGTGCTAACACTCTGACACATTTACAGCAGGCTCACCCTCTGTACTCCCCTCTTTCATTGTGGCAGGGGGAAATGGGACATTTACACATGGCTTTAATGGGTTGTCACGACTGCCATCAAACCGGATTTCAATTTATCAAGAGAATATCCGGCCCTTCATTTATGTCTCCTCCTAACGTTGTCCCCCCTCGGCCTTTCTCTCTTTTCATTGTTTGGCCCTAACCACATAAAAAGCTGTCCCTCTTTGATAAAGATGGCGTTTTGTCCGAGTGACATCATGTCTCAAGGGCGCGAGAGGCGGACAGTCGAGCATTCCTCCGACGTTAGGAGCTAACGGCCGAGCTAAGACGAACAATACACTTCACAGCTGTGTGCGTCCATACATTTGTGAGAGTCCGATTTTGTCGTTCACAAGTGTCTCTTTGTGCCTCAGTCAAAGGCCCTCTCTCTCCAGGCCATCTGGACACGTCCGTTGGCGGAGAGCTGAGCTGCTGGAATCTGGACTTCTCCTCTCTTTCTCCTTGTCCTCTTCTCCATCCAATTGGCTTCAGTACTCCCAGTCCTCCCATATGTATCCTCTGCTCTGAATAGCTAATGAGCCGTTTCCTCAGTTACAATGGCACAGCCTGGCTGACTAGTCAAGGAAGGAGAGGAAAAAAACAACCAAAGAAGATTTCGTTTTGCTGCCAATCCTTTTAGAGTGACCACCAAGAGGTTCAGAGGCTCTCATTATCACGAATAATGTGATTTAATATGAGAAATCCCAGAGTGAAGGAATTTTAGAGCGAGTACATGTGTGTGGCAAGATCTCACATCTGTTTCGTGGGATGGTAATGTGCTGCGTTTTCCCTCTTTATTTCACACCAAGCCAGCACAGCTGTCAGTGAGAGCGTCAGAAAGGGAGAAAGACCAACCAATTAAAGGCCTGTTAGAAAAGGAGCGAGCAGACAAATCCTTTCGTGGAGAGCATTGAGTTCAACATGTCCGTACATTTCTTAAATATCAAAGGTGCCCTATTACGCTTATTTCCAGGTTCATATTTGTATTTTGTGCCTCTACTGTGACATGTTTACATGCTTTCATGTTTAAAAAGGGATTTATTTGTCTCATACTGCCTCTTTTTTACATCCGTCTGAAATCAGATCCCAGTCTGCTCTGATTGGTTAGCTGGCCTGCTCTGTTGTGATTGGTCAACTGCTTAGAGATGTCCTGCCCTTTAGCCTATCATATTAAATGTGTTGGAGCGCTAGCCAATAGAAGCGCAAGTTTAACATAGTGATGTCACTATTTCGTGAAAGTAAACAAAGAACTCAAATAGAGGCAAACCTAAAGAACACGTTAAAGGGAAGGGAAAAGGCCAAAAAGCATTATAGGGCCTCTTTAAAAAAAACGATAGTCACACAATATGAAATAATGTTATTCCATTCCTTATCCATGTGAATAATTCTCACTGTTCCTCCACACATTCATTTCACAATATTGCGGTGTTTACTCTGTTGTTTTCCAACAGCAGCTGTAGAATAACACTTATAGTTAACACCATCTGTTGAGACCTCAAAAACAACATTAGCAAAACAGGAGGGTGTAACACTTTTAGGACTGCACACCAAGAAGAGGCCGCAGAAAAATTCAAGGAATCTGCGTCCAAAGGCATGCTGGGAACTCAAAATGAACCAATGATGATGCACACAAACATGATGCACTGAAACCCTCCCATGCACACAGACAACTGCTTTCCTGTGGGAAGTCGTCCAGGTGCAAACTCCGACCCTGACACAAGGGTTCAAAGGTCAAACAGTTTGTTTTCCCAGGTTTACCCCTTATTATTTATTCATGAAACAGAGAGGAAGGGAGGGAGGGACTCGCAGAAGGAGAGAGACGGAGAGGAATCCCTCAGCGTTGAAGCCTTTGATGTGGGAAAAAAAAAAATCGCCTTTTTTTAATCTGCCCTCTAATGGAACACACATGACACATCCTGAGCCAGCGCGCACTCTGCCAGCTCTTCTCCTCTCCCAGTGTTTACTTGTTTGTGTCTGCATGTGTTGCGCACACACACATGGGTTCTGTGATGTCCACGTGTGTGAGAGAGAGAGAGGAGGAGAATGAGATAACGTGCTGCCGATTAAACTCACAGGGGGGGAATGGACAAAGAAAATATTAGTAATCGCTCCATGCTGCTGCTCAATTGCTCTTCCTGAGAAGTAATCATACCTTAAAGAGCCCGAGGCACCACAGCTGTCCACATGCATTTCAGACAAAGGCTAACCCCGCGTAGTCGCTCTCCTCTGAAACTAGTTAAGGGAGAGAAAAAACAAAGTGTTTATTCTCGGAATATTCAAAGGTTTCACTCCGAGCTGCCCTGTGGTGTGAGCATTTTTCAGACACACAAAGTGCTTTTTAAATGCATTCAACTTTATTTAATGTCCCTTTCATTTACAAAATCCTAATAAAACTACCCTTTGTAAAGAAGGGCTGCCCCACTACCAGACCACATCCGACTACGGGTCAGTTTCACAACACCCCCTCCCCCCCAATCTCTTATTACCTCCAGCAAGGGGGGAATGTGTTCTGCTTGGTATGTCTGTTTGTCTCTCAACAGGATTACGGAATAACTACTGGCTTGGTTTTCATCAAACTTCTTTTCTATGCTCAGGACCCCATCATGAATTACAATTTGTTTACTCTACCCTGTGATTGGCTCTCCAAATGCCCTTAAAGTTTTGCACAAAAATTGCCTCTTTATTGGATGTTTAACATCATTTACCACTGTCAACATAAAGACTTTTAAGAAAAGTTGAACTGGAGCACAGACAGTTTTAAGAGGCTTGGAGAAATTAGTATTATAGAATGTTGTGCTACTTCACACTAGAGCTCTCCAGGAGTATAACATATCTATTAATACGATAATAGAAATTGCACAAGAGTATATTATGTAGGAGGGAAACGTGAAGAAAAAGGTTTCCTCGTGTATATAGTTGCATATCTTTCAATTTTTCTTGTAAGATGTTTAAGTGGCCCCACTTGGACCGTACAATCTAGACAGTGGCCAGTATTTGTTTAGCCCCAGTTACATAGCCTATATTTATATCACTCTACTTTTTTAATGATATTTTCCTAAATGTTAACAAATTTAAAGAATGTGTTGATATGTTAACACTGTAAGCGTTGACATACTGTGTAGATAATCGAGTGAGAGCGCTGCAGCACATTCTCATGTTTTCTCCCTCTTGTCCCGTCCCAGTTCTTGGGAAACAAGTAGCATGACATCACTGGGGAGACAAGAAACACAAAAATAGCCCGACAGCCCGGTTCCCAGCCGCGCGCTGGACCCCCGACCAAACCAGGGTTCACAATGTGTTTTCAATGTGTCTGATATCTCCGCTAACTACAATCTTCTCTCTCTTTGTTTCCCTCCCTTTCTCTTGCCCTTTCATCCTCCTCCTCTATCGACAAACTCTCCCTTTCTCTCTCGACATGTTCCTTCTCTTTCTTCCCAGACTCTGTGGTCACGGAGGCAAGGTCACACGCTCTACTCTTGGCAGTCTGCAGTGTGCGGAGCTTTTGCAGGTGCAGGGGATTATTTGCTGCTTTGGGAAAGAGGCGGAGAGGGAGGAGGGAGGGAGGGGGGGTGGGAGAAGGAAGGGGAAGAATGGATGGTGAAATCAATGGAAGGATGGATGGAGGGATGGTAGGCGAAGAGATGGCCACAGGGTCAAAACAAGTTTACCCAAAGCCACATTCTTGTAAGATTTCTCAAAGGTGAGCTCAGCTTGCAAATCCCGTTCTGACCTGCACAGCAGATTAAAGCAAAAAAAAAAGAGAAGTAGATAAGAATGGATAAAGGTAATGAAAACAGGCTATTCGAGCTATTTCCTTTAACATTGCTTTTTACAGCGCTAATCTACCATCTCCTCAACTCAGTGATTCTGCAGTGCTGTCTCAAAAAAACATCTCATTATCACATTTCCCAAGTCCTGCAGCCAATGAAAAGCATAGCATAGCCAGCTTTAATGATTCTGTCCTAGCCCGCATGTGTATCAGGGGAGAGACGGACAACAGAGGGAGGAGAGAGCAGGGATGAGAGGGGCCGGTTCCTGGGTATGGGCCCCTGCAGCTGTGCGACCTCCTGAGCACTGGGGCCTGAAGTGGTTTAAGAGAGAGGGAGAGGCGTAGGAAGGGAGTGAAAGAGGGGAGTGGACTAAAACAAGAAGAACAGGGGAAAGGAAAGGACAACAGCTCGAGAGGATTAGATCAGACTGTAAAATGAGACAGAAAAAAAGTTAGTTTGTCAGAAATTGTTAGCGTTTAAAAATGTGCAATTTGTCAAGTTAAAGGTCTAACAAACAAATGAGATAAGTCCCAGTCCATTGTTACCCTGACACTGGGTTGACACATTGTTTTATGATTATACATTTTAATGTATATATTGCACTTTTATTGATGATGAATTTAGTTAGGAGACACACTTTTAAAGTATTCACAAGAAGGTGTACAAGTGCTTCATCCCTTACTCACCGTGCTACGGTTGCTTTTGTCTTATAAACAAAGATGGTAGTGATTGTAGAGCTTATGTTCAGGACATTTAGTATGTACATATGACCAAAAGGTAATGCTCCCTGCCCGACTCATCCACTCCAAAAAGTTCAGCCTTTATCTAAACTCCAACTTTAGATGCATACAAATAAAACAACAGGACTCCTGAGTCTGCTTTATACCAGTTGTTATTGAAAGGCTTTTAATAAGCATGTAGGAATGTGCAATTCTATAAAAGCACTTTATTCTGCATTGCACAGTCCCAAACTTTATTGATTTTAAAGCCTCTGCATAGCCCCGGTTAAATCCACACAGGTGTTTTCACTTAATACGCTTGATTACACTCTGGAGGTGATTGGCATCTCCCCGATGCATCTGTCGGGGCGGGACAAGTTACAGCGTCTCGTACAACAATCATTCTTATTGGCTCGTAGAGTCTAGACATCATAGCTCCTCCCTCTTTGAGGCAGAGGTCTAATCAGTCCCTCAAGTGAAAACACCTGTGTGGATGTGAGGTGCATTTAATTCAGGTGATTGTTTGAAGTTATTTAGCTCGGTTGATGGATATGTTTTACTTATATGTGTATATTATAAGTGTTCTTTTGGATCTTTTTTTACTGCTTTTAGGAAGTTAGATTTTCCTCCATAAAGTTTTAAGTTGATGGAGAGGCATTGGCAGGGGAAATAAATCATTATTTAGAAAAACAAAAACAATGCATTCAGTGTAGTGTACATTATCTCCAGAGACAATACTATAAACCCACAGGGTGCATGTAGCAACATAGCGTGTAGCGTTCATATGATAGACCTGGGTAAAAAAATGTTACACATCATCTATCTTTCCACTCAGTCTTCAGCTTTTTTCCCGATGAAAAGCTAGAACCACGACCAAAATACATATTTGCAGAAGTGGAGAATTTGTTGGACAATTTAAATCCATAACTCTTGCGACGCCACAAACGCGCCAGACAGGACAGGAAGACTGAGGTTAGCTTCTCCAGGGGCGATGGAGACACGGAGATGGAAGTTAAGGAGAGGAGAGGGGATAAGGAAACAGCACCCTAAGGAGCTGAGACGTGGCCATGCGGCACCCAGCCTGGAAACAGAGGAGCCAGGAGATGTGGTTGAGTGGGCGTCAGGCTCAGACTAAAGAATTATGAGTGAAGATTAAACTCTTAATGATAATACAGTAGTTGTAAATATTTATGGACGTTTTAAGATGTGCACTATTAGAAGGACACTTTTAGTATTCCCTCTTACCTGTAGTGCTATTTTCAATGGAGATGGTTTAAGTGTGAGTTGCACTGAATTGTGATGTCTTCCTCCTCTGAAACATAATGGATCTACAAGGCACTTGACTTGTGGTACTCAAAGTGAAGAAACTCAACTCCAATTTCTCTTTCAAGAAATCATGACCCATTTCCTAAAGATACCAGACTAGAGTTTTCTGTAGGAACTGTTTTATTTCTACTGGGTCACTGAGCAGACAGAAGTGTGTATCTTCTTTGAACAAGGCTCTTCTGAACTAGGTAACTTTATGTTTAATATGTTTAATAGTTACATCTCTCACCCTCATGAGCATGGAGCTCTCCTCCATGAGTAGAGACACGTTTATGGTTTGCTGAGTCTGGTAAAAATAAAACAGTCCCTTCTTGAAACCGTTCCCTTTTAGGTCTGTAGGTTTTCTTGACTGAAATGGTCATGAATTCAGATTTGAACATGTATTTGTTGGTGCTTTGAGTACACGAGCCAAGTGCCATCTAGTTCCATACACTTTTGATAAAAAAGCAAACATTTCTAGTCCGATATTCACAACACTTGGCAAATTGTATCAAAACAATTTAGATAAATAAATAGCTAAGAGGACAAAGATGTACTTTGGATTTCTTAGTGAATTTTGCTTTTCAAGTAACCGCTCAAAACAAGCAGGTCTATTGCAGTAGAATGACAGAGTTTTCAATTGGGATATGAAGGCAAAATGATTGAGAGATATGTATTGGAAGATAACAATCTGAAACACAAGGAGGAGAGAAGGGGGGGTAGTGGGGGGTGTTGGTCCATGGTGGGAATCGAGTTCCCGTCCCTCTGCGATGGAGCTGCTGTCCAAGAGGGATCCTCGAGTTTCAGTCACTTCCTCTTACATCGCGCTTCACACTCTCGTCCCCTCACACATAATCTGGCCAACACTGGAAATGCTCACTCCTTTAATCAGCCCAAATATCTCCAGTTGAACCCTGCATTGACTTACGACGGACTTGACCCGGTCTGAACCGCCTACAAAAAAAATCTCCCCAGCCCGAGACGGGATGACATCACCGTCTGATTCATCCTAACCTTCGTCACATCACATGTTTCTTCCAGACACATTTAGATCCTCCAAATTCATCGCTCGGCATGTAGATTTGTTTCTCGAATGCATCCTTTTTACTGCGATCCAAGAATAATAAAACACAGGCTGTACACTTAATGCTCGATGAAGTTTCATCTGCCAAAGTAGGGGGGAAAACATCATATAAATCTTATAACTATATTAACTAATAAAATGTAACGGTGTGTTACTTCACAATAATCCCAGCGCTTCCCTCAGCTCACTTACAGTCACATTGCTCCTCGGTGGCCCATGTGGATATGTTTACTGAGAGCAGTTGCTATGTTTGTGGCGGAGTGACACACACACACACACACACACACACACACACACACACACACAGTTTCTCACTTTAGATACACACTGCAGCTCAGTGTGGACACCTCTGCCGCCCATGCAGCTTCCAAGTTGGAGGGATGGAAGGAAGTTGGGGTGTAACTGCTCTATAAAATTCATTGAATGGAGTTTATTTGTGTGTGTGTGTGTGTGTGTGTGTGTGTGTGTGTGTGTGTGTGTGTGTGTGTGTGTGTGTGTGTGTGTGTGTGTGTGTGTGTGTGTGTGTGTGTGTGTGTGTGGTCTCTCTGTGTGTGTGTGTGTGTGTGTGTGTGTGTGTGTGTGTGTGTGTTTTGGACTCCCTTCTCCTCCATTCCCTCCTCCCTCCAGCGGTAAAGGAAAAGAAAACTTGTCAGACGAGGAGAGAGTAATTTCTCAGCCACCTGTCTCCAACAGAAACAAAAGACATAGGGGTGTTTTTTTCCCCCTGCTCTCTTGAGAGAAATGTGGAAATCATCCTCTCGTTCCTCTCAGCAGATCTGTTAGTCACAATTTACGGCAGTGGCTACAAAGTGTTTCCTACATGCTCAGTGAGCTGTAGATTGCCGTGCATGCACACACACTCAAACACACACACGCCTTTTTTTCTTTCCCTCTCCTGTCGGCAGAGGTGGAAAAGTACTCAGATTTTGCACTTTAGTAAAAGTAGAAAATGATAGGCATCAAAATCTACTTTAAGTAATCATTATACAGATTGGCCAATTTCTGAATAATATACATTATAGTATATGTTTTGATTATAAATGATGCTGCATTTAGGAATTATCAAAGCTTTTAATCACATTGTGAACTACAGGATAGCATGGTGAATTTGACTCCTATACCTCACTCACACCAACGGTGTTTCAGGGCCGGTTCGGAGCTGGAGCTTGAAAAGCACCGGGTTTCCTGTTCACACCTCTTAGCTCCGGAATCCGGTTCGTTTCAAGCACCAAAAAATTGTCGGGAGCAGGGGCAGGGGGAATCGGAATCGTCGTTGAAGTTGATGATTACGATTGTTAAACAGTTTTGAATGTAGCATGTAACGACTGTAATTTCTTCCATTTCGTTTCGACAGAGCGAAACCAAAACGAGTAGCGCTTCAACACAATCGGCCATTGTTGCTGTTGTCGGTGTCAGCTGTGAGGGGTTTCCGCGCAGTTTGGCTTTATGAAGCAGGCACGCAAACGGTTACGTCATGACGCAAACGATGACGCAATGACGCAGCACCAGTCGGACTCTGGGCGGTGTGAAAAGAGCCGGAGCTAAACCGAAGAACCGGTTCTGAACCTGAAAAGCTCTAGCACGGAGCTTGAACCGGAGTTGCGTTGGTGTGAATGAGGTACAGGTGTAACTTAAGTCTTATTTAAGTGTTGATTATATTTCACATCATTATTCCAAATATGCAAAGCAACTAAAGTTATTTAAAAAATGGAGTGGACTAAAAGTACACTATTGACCTCTGAATTGTAGTGGAGTAGAAGTGCAAAGTAGCAAGAAATGCCCCCCCTCACTTAACCCCGGCACCCCTCTCCTGCCGCTCTCAGACCCCTGTGCCACTCCACAGTGATGGATTAAAAACTCTCTGGCCGGCTAAGCCTTATTATGTAAATAAAAGTTCTAGACTGACAGGTGGGGAGGGAGAACTTGTCGAGTGTGTTTTTGGGTGGGCAAATGGTTGGGTGTTTCTCCAACGGGTGCCTGGGTGGGTGTTGGAGGTGTCACCTTCGCTGACCCAGCTGTCCATGAGGAGAAATGAAGGGATACGAAAAAAGCGAGGGGGAGGTGAAGGAAGCTCGGCTGAAGAAGACTAAACAGGGTGTCCGTTGGGGGGGGGCAGGAAGGGAAGGAGACGATCCATCCGTCATCATACCTTTATTTTCTCTTTCTGTCTCCCTCTCTATAGGCCGGGTCGAGCGAGGCGGAGGGGAACATCCCCAGGGTGCTCTGCAACGTGTGGAGGAGCCGCGGCCTACCAGGGTGAGTCTTCATTTCAGAGGGATTGTCAACGTGACAGCTGAACAGCCTCTTTACACAAACCGCTTTTAAAAACCTCTTATTTTACTTGATTTGATTCAACCCTCGCCTGATCCCTCACGTAATCAAGTTTGATGATAGAGTCGCTACTCCGGGGGCAGGCGAATTTACAGCCGCAGCTGAAAAATTAGACTTAGAAAAGCTTTTCCCGCCCACTTGCTGCACCGGCCTATTGATTAAGGTGTTACAGGGGCCAAGTGGAAGGGTTTATTTGAGTGTTTTGATGTGTTTATGATGCGCACCGGACAAAAGGCCAGGTCTAATGGGGCCGCCGAGGGCTGCCAGCACTAAAACAAACACTCAGCCGGCGTGAATAATAGCCCCGCTTGTGTACAAGCCGCCATCACTTAGTTAGGATGCACCTCGGCTTAACGCTCATAGCAGATTTGGTTTGGGACTGGGCCAAGCACCAGTGGGACGCACAAACACACACTCTTACAAACACAAACCTCTGTGTTTGTTTGTGCGGGCTGCAGCGCTGGAATCTAATCAAAGACAAATTACATTTCAGCTTTGTGTTTAATATGAGCCAAGGGTGATTCCCTACAAACCGCTCTCGAGCATCAGTAATAAGCCAGCCGTCAATTTTAATAAAGATCATGTTTGAGACTACTGCACGATCTCGATGAGGTGATAGTTGGCGGGCCCCGATGGAAAAAGCCTGAATCCAACTCTCCCAGCTGCAACCGTAACCCACGGAAATGTACGGAGGAGCGCTTTGATGCCAGTCCCCCACCTCTGCACCACGCTTTGAAGTTTTCCTATCTTTCCACTCCTCTATCTCCTCCGGCGCTCCCCTGGGTCCAGCTGTAAAATTACTCATAATGTGCATCGCTATAAGCCGTACAACACGATAAACCCCTGAAGAAACTCCTCTGATATTGATGTAACCAGAGAAGGTGACGAATGAGAAGAACGAGAGCAACTAATATAATGAAATGCAGAGACAGGGGAGAGTGTGTAGAAAGTAAAAAGGGTGGAGGGGGGAGGGGGCTTTTTCTCCGCAGGGCCAAAGGCCTGGTGGTTGCGCTGGTGCATGCCTGATACAAATTGCTGGGGCTTTAAAGCTGTAATTATGGTAATAGGCCCAATTGCAGTGTAGTGAAGCTCTAAAGTGCTTCCATGTGTGTGCCATGCCCCAGAGACCCCGGGTTAGCAGAGAGCTGGGGAGCTCACCCCGCACCCCCCCCCCTCCATCTCTAGTAACCAAACTGCACCAGGAATCATGTCAAAACAAAGACTAATAAGCAACATGGCCTCCGGGCTGCGTCTGCTTTGTGCCTCATGTAAAGCAAAATGGAGGGAAAGTAAACAAAGGACTTGTTTGTGCCGCATACACACAACAAAAGGATGTTTGTGAATGAACTTAATTATACTTGTATGGCCCAAGGAATATTTGTTTTTCACCATTTAAAAAAAGAAAAGGTAAGTTGGGTGGTTTGAGCACTTTTGACAAAGGGAAAAATCTAATATTACTAACAAAGTTGTCTGTCTTCATTTTGAGGTTAATTACCTGTTGGAAAATCTAGTCATTACTCCAATTGAATCACAATTATTAAGTTACTGCAAATAAAGTCAGAGAATTCCCCAGTCTTTCTAAAGCAGAAGGGGAACACCATCGCAGTACAGTGCAACTTCTGCCTTCCAGATGTGAAAATGCTGTCACCATCCTGGGACTCGAATCACATCTCAGTTACTGGATTTAACTTAGAGCAACAGCAGTACCACCCGTATAAATCATATTTAATTAACTTAGATGCAAATGTCCCTGTTCGTCCTGAATTGCTTGTTGGACCAGAAGTCTGCTTTACATTTTAGAAAAAAAATGTTTTTTTAACTGGAATCCCTCGCAAACCATCCTGTTAAAAAATTCAAGTGCATTACGCTTTTTTTTTTTCGGCAAAATGTTCTTCACCCATTGGAGCAATTTGTTCCTTTAATATACTTTTTAGGTTGGTTGTATATCCTTCTTTATTACAAAATGTATTATAAATTCCTGTTAATAACCACCATTTCTGTTAAATGTATCGGCAATCTGATTATTTTTTTGTACAGTTTTATTTTTTATCCTAATAAAACAACACTATTGCATGTATTCTGTTTATCCCCAAGCCTGAATACTAGACTTATGAAGGTGTTTTGCTGGAAAATATATGAATGCACCCCTTTTCCAAAGACCATCCCCAACACCTCACATACTTTACGTTTAATCCTTTTCCTGCGATGTCTGTTTGGGCTGAGAAAGTTAGGTTTCGTGTTTTTAGAGACATGAGGGTACATGTGTTTCTTACTTTTTGTTTTTTGTCCCAGATGTTCAAGTAGACTCACTCTCTACTGAAGGAATGTGGAAAACATCAAACTGATGTAACTTCTTTAGTTTCTTCCTTTTGAACTTATCCTCTGAAAATGTTAACCTCAGCATTCCTGCTCTTCAACAAGTACCAAAAATGTACTCTAATATACATTCAAATATTTCCTCCCTTGTTCTTCGAGTACCCCAGCCTTTTTCTACTCCCTTATCTGAGACATTTCTTGGAGTCTACCACTGTTCTCATGCACTCTCCTGTCATGCACTGGAACTATATTTAGTCCGATCCTCAGGAGAGGTGATTTGCCGACAATAGGGGGCTGACAGCTCTGAGTGGCTGGCCAGGCTGTGATGTCAGAGCGAGTCAGGGCACCCGGGGGAGCCGAGGGGGAATATGTGAGCTCTGCTCTGATGCCTCGTACTCCACAGGTGGGCCTGATCCCAGACAGGACATGTAACAGTAGTCCGGAGCTGAGACAAAACAAGAGCGTTGAGTTTAAAATTAGTTCATTCCTCACACTGCTGGCGATCAGATCCATCACATGAGACGTTAGAGGTGAATACGTCCAGACTTGTTGTGTCTATCACGTTGTTTAGCTGCCCAGCTGCTCTGTGTACGTGATTGTATCTCTTTGATTAGCTTTGGATATCATATGTAATATTGCTGTGTCAGTAATGCTAAGTAGTTTCCTGCAGCGGGCCTGTGGCTTATGTTTCAGCAGATGGTGATGGAAAGCTGTGTTGGGATGGAAAGAGCTCGCTGAAGGGCAGGACAGCAACCTCTGACTAATGTCTCGCTCTCTATTTGGAGCCTTTACACCAGTCACAAACACACTTGGATTCTCCTTGTCTCACACAAACACACTTTTTGCCTCTCCCACACAACTAAACCCTTCACTTGACGTCTTTTGAAAAAACACCCGATCCAGGCCTTGGCATTCTGTGAATACTTGGGATGACTGAGAGATCCCTGACATGCTTTGTACCTTGTACAGCTTTGCATTTGCAGTGTCTGTTGGTGACCTAAACCTTACATTAACTGTGAAAACTGAAGTGTCAAAACCTCAACTTAAGATCCACCTGGTAGCTTTTTGTTCTTGTTTCTTGGTTGTCAGGACAAAAGTTAGTGCATCATTGTAAAAAGTAATGGACTGCCAAGCTAAGATCAATCCAAGATGTCAAATTGTGATGATAAGATCTTTTGAAAGACTTGTCCTCTCTTGGTTCTATCATCTTGAACGTTTTGAAAATGACTCATGTTCTTTTGATATTTTGTTTTCTTAACCTTAGTCAAGAGACTGCAATCCACTGCATGCGTCTTCCTTCATTGTATCACGTGCCGCCTGCCTTGTGAAGAGCGATGGTCACATGTTATTTTAAACTTTAACAATTCATTTTACTGTTAGTGGGTCCTGATAGTCCTTCAATTTGAGAAGGTGTTGCGACCCAAAATGACAATGCATGTTCTTTCATGTCTAATGCTCATTATTCTCCAAGAGGAACTCCCGTAACTTAGTGTTGCACCCACATAAATGAAAGAGACTCCTGAATGACGGGTTAAATTAAGAATATTCTAAATGTAAGCAACACATATACTGACTGCTGAGGTATACAAACTGTTAGTCCCTAGTATGGGTCAAACTCCAGAGAAAAATAGTCCTCAATTTCCCATCAATCGGTTGAATCAGAGACTGGATGTCATAACATAAAGCCCAAAGTTGCTCATCTCAAAATTAGATCAAAACTAAATAACATGATCGTCCACTTGCCTCTGTAATTGGTTTTATCTCACGAAACGACAAACACTAATGTAACATTTGACAGTTTGAAAAGCACAGCTGTAAAAAGTTGTATCAAAAATTGCTGAATTGCGTTTAGCTGCTTCAGTTTCAGGGTCCTGGTGTTGTTCCATGACTCGATTGGACAAGTGATCCGAACAGAGCCATCGTTTTAGTTATAAGTAACACTTGTGCTTTTTCTATTATAACAATTCAAACCTCTGCCATGAAAAACAGGACCATACAAAAGCCTCTCGTCAGCTTCTGCTCGCCCACAGGTGATGGAAAACACACAGACGTTTCTGATATCTTAATAAGTTTCACAAAATGGGACAGAAACACAAGAACTTACACAAACACCAACCCAAATGATGAGTGCAGACTGACATTTTGTGTGCATCTCCCTTCACACACACACACACACACACACACACACACACACACACACACACACACACACACACACACACACACACACACACACACACACACACACACACACACACTTACAGGCAAACATCCCTGTAGGCACAATCCTCTGCATCCATTACTTCAAGCTTGGCCGGGGTCGGACCATGTGAGCGTGGAGGCGTGTTGGCAAGCAGAAGGTGTTGGTAGGCAAATACACGACTAGGGAGAGACAAGACGGAGAGAATAGTGGAATGAAAAGAGCTAGACATGGAAAGGCAGACTGGACAACGTGAGCATGTGTCTGAGAAATGGATGACGCAGCAAGAAAACGGAGATGTTGGAGGAGAAATCCCCGGACAATGGAGCCAGCTGAGGGGGCCGCCGCTGGCTGGAGAGACGGAGGACAGCGGAGGGACATGTGTGGATGTCATCCGGCCATAATTCATGCACAGAGGGAGAAATAAGGGGGGGGGGGTGAGAGTTCCAGGCAGGCCTCAGGGTGGGGGCTTTATGCCTAATCCCAAAAACAGCTGTGTGAAGCGGGGAGAGGCAGGGGGGTTCTTGGGAGACTGGTGCTTTCTCATAGCTCATCACATCCTTCGACCCCCGCAACGTCAATAGCTTTTTATTTTGTCTCAGTCGCTGTAACGTGGGCTCTTATTGCTCTCTATGAGGTGGAGGCAACATGATTGACCCACACCTGAAGGCACGGTAAATTACCCACAAATACTGTGGAAGAGTACCTGAGACAGTCGGAGCAGCTCTCAGCTCTGTTCAAAGGGTTTCTTTAAGCTACAACTGGTACATTTTGGAGATGTGATCACGAAAAGAAGAAAAAAACGACTTCCTGTAACATGTGCTTCTTGATTAACTTCAGGTGCGTGCATGTGGCAAAGTCATTCCAAGCATTTTGTGGAAATGAAACACTCATATTCATCTTTAGCTTAGTACGGGCCGTGTTGTGAAATGAACTATATGCCATAGTGAAGCCTTCTTTTTTGGTTAGAAACAGTTAGTTATCCTGAAATCCTTGAAACTCGAAAAATGTGAGAAGGCCTACCCGAATCAGAAAATGAATCAGCAATTTTGCACTTTTGCTTCCCTTATCTCTTTTCAATTCAATGTGCTTTTTGAGTAGTTTTTGGTAAGCCGCCTAAATACTTGTGAATTTTAAGCTTTGATGTGTGAAAAAAAGCTAATAAGTGGCAAAATGAGACTACTTAGCTCCAACACTAGTTCGCCTTTAGCCCCAAGTTATCTTTTTTCTTTTTCTTTAGCCATAGACTGTGGTATGATCCTTCATCACTGTGCAGTACACTGTGTTAGTGTTTGGTTTGAACCTGCACAGTTCAACTTTATTAATGCAGATACACACTTGTTAACGATGCCTTGCACAACAGTGAGAGATAATGTTTGTCATGTGTCCTCTTGGTTTTAGTATTGGAAAACCATTTAGCAAAACTATTTTACAAAATCTGATTCCAGCAATAACACGTATCGTTCTTTCTCTTCTTTGTCCGCAGTCTGTTTGCAGGCTGCATACCGAGGATGACCTTCATCAGTGTGGGCGGTTTCATCTTCCTGGGAGCTTACGAGAAAGTCCGCAGCACTTTACTGTATTAGCTCGTCCTCTGACAGCATCCTGAGCCCCAGCCTGGTGGAGGAACAGCGGAGGAAGCATCTCTTGGAGAAGCACCCTCTTCCTCTGGGGGCCCCTGCACCCCCATGCTGCTGGGCCCCGAAAAGCAAGGAACACCTGGTGCTCGAGGGAAGGAGTCGTCCAGGGCCTGATCGCTGCATTCCTGCTCATCAGTGCTGTTGAGTTTAACAGCCTGAGTTAAACAGCCTGAGCTCAAACTCCTGTAACAAATGGTAGCGTGTTAAATGGAGCCACACCCTGTCCCACAAGTCTAGCATCTTTACTGTTCAACATGTATGTGTGGGAACCAATGAGTGATGTAATTAAAGACTCTTTTTTTATGTTTTAAGGTGAGGTTTGTTGATTTGATCCCCAATAGAAGGCCCTGTTAAGCTTCCAATATGTGATTTCATGATCATTTTAATGTGTAATCCATATTTTTCTCTTAGCTAAGTCTGGCCACCTGTTTTAAGACCCACCGGGGGCTGGGGGGAGACAGAGTAATGTCTCAGCATTGTTACAATCCCGCTGGAGCACAACTGAGCTCATCCACCTGCAAGGGCTTTAATTTTATACTAAGGATCCCTACAACAATGAGCACTTTGTTAAATTAACAAGGCTCTAGTTGTATTATTAGCCTCAGGTGTATTGCCGTTTGGGATATAGCTGTCTGGTTTATTGTGAAATATTTGTATCAGGTCGTTAGCCTGATTGATTTGACATTGTAGTAGAGTGACTCCTAAAGCTCAAACCTGTAAACTTGCCAGTTAAAAAAAAGTTAGCTTGACAAAACAACAACAGCCATTCAACAATACAGCAATTGTGTGACCTTAGTCGCTTTAGTTTTGAGGAGACATACATTTTCTTCTCCACTTAAAGATGTATATTCAGGATAAACCATTATTGTGCCAGTAGCCTACGCTAAGAATGATGCTACAGCTAGGATACTGTTAGCTTAGCGCAACAACTTGAAGCAGGGGGAAGAGCTAGCCTGGCTCAGTCCAATAGCAACAAAATCTGTCTTTAGCACCTCTGAAGCTTACTAACTTACTCTTATAGCCAGGCTAGCTGTTCCGTTGTTTCAGTCTTTAATATGCTAGACTAAGCTAGCAGTCTGCTAGCTATATTTACATCGGTTTACTGCACGCGCCACAGGCTTCAGGTATTGGTATTTTAAAAAAAATGTATGTTGGATATAGTGTCCACATTTTACTATACTGTAGGAAAAGGAAGGCTCTAAAACTTACTGCAATAATGGAGGAAGAGTTTAAAATGTATAATGTCTGTGGTTTTCTCAGAGATTCATTTAATGGTAGCCTATGTGTTTAAGTTACACATGATCTTTTCTTGTACTGTATCTGCAGTAAAAAATACGCCTTCCTCTTCAACAGCCAGTCAAATGCATACTTATTGTTGCCAATCTCCACTAATGTTCCCTCTTTTCAAATTGAGAGCACACCAAGATAACCTACGCTAATTTAAGAAGGAATATTTAAACATACGCAGGAACAGTTAGCCATAGTCAAGTGTTTTCCCTTCTTGTATTTAGTGAATGAGCCCAGTGTTGTGTTGTCCTTCGGAGGTAAAACTGAAGACTTAAATCCTGTCAGGAGGAGACGGATGGCCTCACAGGTGGGAGCGTTTGTCATGCTGCTTGTCACTGGGCTGTTGGACAACAATGGTCAGTGTGTGATTGGTGGAGGCCACGGCCGGGAGCATGTCAATCATCCGGTGACAAACATCCATCTGGAATGCACATTCTGGCCAGCCACTGACCCTCAGTCAGCTACGACTCAATGGCAAATATTTTAAACAGCCCGCAGTAGGAAAAAGTATGCCTGCTGTCTTTGGAGCTTCAGGGAGCCAGGACACATTCCTGGTCGGAAGATTAGCGGTGTGTGTGTGTGTGTATGTGTGTGTTTTATCCAGGCACAAGCGTCTTTAGTGCTTTGAAGGTCTCTTGGATTTCATGTCTTGGTGCATGCTCCATTAATTGATGACTTCTCCATGGCCACTGTGACGTGACGGTTGCTAAATGCTAACACAGCTGTTTGTGACTCTACTGTCACTCTTTCCATACAAAAAAACACATGAAGACACATCCCATAATAGCAAAATGTGATTTTTATTAGACACTTCAATGCCATGTTAGACACTTCACTTTTTCAGCTTCCACATTGGTACAACGGTTTTTCGAACAGTTTTCAATAAATTACTCAGAACATGAACTGCCCCTCCCTCCCTTTTGTCCCTTTTACCTGCTACACTGGGATTAGCTTTCCAAACCGGGATCTTTGATTGGTCCTGCTGGTCAAATCACCTCTGATAGGTGCCACCAGGTGTAACCAGAGGAGCATGTCCTCCAGTTTACCTTGATAAGGCCACTGGTAACGGAACACAGTTTGAACAACTGGCGAGACGCATGAATACATTAGACGATGTAACTACTTTTGACTGAATTCTGACCCAGTGTATGCAGGGATTGTAGACACACCCGACTGTATTATTCCTCCAATAGTTTGGTTAGAGCACATTTCACAAGCTTTCCAACTGTTCACAGCATCAACCTTTTAGATACCTTAAACAATATTCAACTGAAGTGATTGATGATGAAGTTATTGTTAGACTGCGGTGATGAGACGGGAGTACTGGCCGTTTGCCTGTGAATGCACAACGGTGGATGTTGAGGCACATTACAGCAGTAAAACAATTAAACATTCTCCGTCTTTCTAAAGCCCCTTTCACACATGCACTGCAACTTTTAACTAGGACAGCCTTTTAACAAGGAAGACTAAATATAAAAACGGACTTTAACCTGCCAGATCCCAAGTACGAAGTCTATGAAATGTTCGATGTCTGTGGGCGTTGATGACATTTCTATAGCACAATTTAAAAGGAACGCCCCAAAACTGCAGAAAGCAATTACAAACAAAAAAATGATTACAGTTTAGACCAGATTCTTAAAATTTAGCTGGCATCGGAATTGGCAGGCACATTTATGATGGATTATGACCAAATTACGAACTGGCTACATGATCACAGTGTGATGTGTCATGTTGGGCTTCCTACAAAACAAACGAAATATTTCCAGTAAGTGAGACATTGTCTGACATGACTAATTTTCTGTTGTGTGTGACGTGTGTGACATGTGTGAAAGGGAAACTCCGGACAATGTGCAGATCTGATTGTCTGGACATTGAAGAAAATGTCTGCATGGAATAACAATTGTATAATTAAGCATTCAGCCAATTAAAAATCACACAGCTGTAGATTTCCCAATGAACGTGAACAAGAACACAGCAGGTGTTCCATTTCTAAACTGAATGAGCATTACTGGTTTCTTGCAGCTTTTAAATGAGCTGTTAAAATGAATTTGAACACATTTTGTTGAAAACTTACAAACGTTTGTCTCCAAAGTACCTTTCTTGGACAAATAAAGAAACGAATCAGACTCAGAGAGGAACATGTTCTACCTCGGAACAGCTTGGCAGTAATTTGTAGTATTGTGAAACAGGTGGAAGAGCCTTAATGGTACAGTGTGTGCTGTATCCTTTACCGTGTCAAAATAAGAGGAATGTCTCCTCACATAGAGGAGGCTCCTGCATTCCCATTGGCAGATATCATGTTCACAATCTGCTTGCTTATGACGTGAATACAAAAAGTGCTTGAACTGACCGCCCACAAATATCCCAGCATGAACCGTACCGAAATAATTGACATCAAAGCTCTTCCTTCATAAAACAACAACGAATGTGAACTGTGTTTCTGTAAGGCCATGTTTGGCAGCGAAAAAACATTCAAGTGCAATCAAGTGTTTGTTTTGTTTGCTATAAGAGTGTCCCTCACAAAGTCTCTGGATATACGCTATTACAAGATTACTTTTTTCTTTGATCAGGCACCGCAGCTGAATGTTGGTAAAAGCTGAGATTTGGCTGTTTTTTTTTACCAAAAATAAAAATGCCATCACTCCTTTCTTTGTCATGCACATACATTCAAATACTCTTTTGTAAAAGTTATATAATATATAAAAAACTCTTATGTACAGTCAAATATACAAAGGTATATTTCTCTTTTTCCCCTGCACATATACTGTACACGATTCCCTACATTGACATGCTTCAAATGCAAGTCACATTTTTAGGAACTAGAACTTTTGAATTGGTCACCTCCCATCGGAAGGTTTTTAAACTATGTACAGCTGATAACACTCAGATGGGACGCCAGCCACACAAGCTCCACCTCCAAACTCCGGATGCCCCCCTCATTCTGAGAGGCTCTGACGGCGGGTCCGTTAGACAGCAGAGTCTGTTGGAGCTCAGGCTCAAAGTCACTGTCCGGGTGGCCGGGGCTCGCCAGTTTCACCGGCGTCCTCCTGCGACAGGGGGGAGCACGATAAGTAATAAGTACAATAAGTAACAATAAGTACATCTTATTATCTTATACTAACAGAACTACGCCTATATTGCGTAAAGCGCCCATAAACTATGGCGCACCCCCCCTCCCCCCAAATCAAGTTGAACTGCCCCAGCCCCAGTAAAAACCAGAGGTTTATGTGAAATAGTTCTTTTTTGAAATAATGGTTTTAGTGTGGAATTATAGGTTTTAAATGTTGTATTTGTGTTCATTTCAAATAAATCAAACTCCCAAAAAATGTATACAGCTTTTATTAACATTGGAATTTACTGTGTAAGCTTAAACAAATAAGAGAATCGTTTTTCATCTATTCTCTTATAGTATAAAATACTATATGACAATACAAAAAAGTTGTTATTAATAAACAAGAATACGGTTTAAAAGGGGAGTGATTT